ATTCATTAAACTGTGTTTTGTCACAACAATGTTATTTATTTTTGGCCTCTCAGGTTTAATACATTGATGTTTATTGATCATACTTCAACAGAATTTTGAGAGAATGCATAATGTTGGTTTTATGCTTCTCCGATTTACCTATGTGCCAACTTTTCTAGAGTAAACATTTTTTGTGTGTTTGTACATATATATCTATATTTTTTACTGCCCTCTGGCTACTACTTTTCTGTTCTTGACTTGGGATTGCTGCGTGCTTTCTCGTAATAACCTTTATTTTTTATTTCCTTACATTTCCATTTATCAGTTCCATGACTTTTCATTTGACTTATTTTATGAAGTAAAAAGGTGCTTGCTAGAGTGGTAAACAAAATGTTGAAACATTTTTTTGAAGACTGGAACATATGCAATCAAAGTGACTCTAGAGGGAATGGTATATTTTTACTTAGAATTTCTGCAGATTCTATACATTCCTGTATTGCTTTAGAAAAAAACTTCCATGAAAAATAAACAATATTCATGTACTGGTATGTTGTTCCTTGAACCTTAAGCCTACAAAATCTAAAATTTCCCTTTATAAACTACAGATATCTGTTTGCAACAATCACTTTAAATTTAAAAGGAGGAAAATTTTATACCTGCGGGTAGGGGGGGGATGTAAGTGTAAGTGAATCGCTTTTAACTTGGGCACGTGATCGAGTTCAGAATGACGATGGAGGGGCACTAAGTGCCTGTCGGTGACCAGTAAGCGGACCTCGAGCCGGCCCGAGGAAAGTTGGAGAAGACCGAAGTGGTGTTGGTTTGGAGGCGGGCGGCAGCGGGGTCCGTTGCCTGCTTAGGGTGCCCCGCACCGCCAGACTCGACTTGGAGGCGGGGTGGGGGGATGCTCCATGTATGGTGAAGTGAATGGGACCAACGGTCTTCCCCCCCCCTCCTCCTTTTCCCCTCCCCGCTCTTCAACCCGGTCGTCTCAGACCGAGGAGACTCCAGCACCCATCTGTCCTTCCCCCTAACTACTTAGTACACTACCACAACATTTTATTTTGAACTGGGTTGTTCCAAAAATTTAAGGGTGTATAGATTACTGCCCCTTCTAATCTGTAAATTGGTTCTTTAATTGATAGCCTCTCCACGAAACATCCCAGTGTTGTGGGTCTGCATACCCTATTGAGCCGCAGGGGCCGTGGCGCCTGTCGGGTGGAGGGAGTAGGCACACTACTAAATCTTAACTGATTACATCAGATCAATTCAATGCGATAAGAACTGTTTCCTCAAAACTCATGAAGAATTTGCTTTCTTATCCTATGCGTTTCTGATTCCAGATCAACAGCAAATACAGCGATGAGCTTGCCCAGGAATGCTTGGAGTGGATCAAGGTAGTCACTGGAGAGAACTTCAACACCTCTGGGGACATGGATAACTTCTATGAAATCCTGAGGGATGGCACCTTACTATGCAGGTATGATTGTTTAATTCCCCAAGTTCAGACCGTAACTCTCTTATCCCTCCCCCTTCTTATTTGCGAATAATTTCTTTTATGAAAAATTGCAGGCTTATCAACACTCTCCAGCCCGGATCTATCAAAAAGATCAATGAAAGTCAGATGGCATTCAAGTGCATGGAAAATATTAATGGGTTTTTGGAGAATGCACGAACAATGGGCGTCCCTGCTCAGGAAACTTTCCAGACTGTGGACCTATGGGAAAAACAAAATCTTAACTCTGTTGTTATTTGTCTGCAGTCTCTTGGGAGAAAGGTAGGTTGTACATTAAGACTTGAATGTAACAAGTAATTTTTTAAAACTTGACTCTGAGGTGCTGACAAAATTTAACTCACAGGCTCACAACTATGGCAAGCCTAGCATTGGCCCCAAAGAAGCAGAGAAGAATGTGCGCCAGTTCTCTGAGGAACAACTGCGTGCCGGCCAGGGCGTTATCAGCCTGCAGTATGGAAGCAACAAGGGGGCAAACCAGAGTGGAATCAACTTTGGCAATACAAGGCACATGTAAAACAATTATTTCAGTCACATAATAAGATGCACATTCATTAGACTAGTTGCAGATATTGCTTCTCAAACCATAGTTAAAATGTGTTTGCAAGTGCAATGAAGGATGATCGTCTGATATTTAATCAAATGAGTCTTGGCTACAATGAAATAATGATGGCTGTTACTTATTACTTTGTTAAGTTTTCAGTGAAATTTTGACAATGGGAAATTATCTAATTAAGTTTGCAGTTACATCCTCTTTCTTTAGAGTAAATGGTTAAGCTTGAAATATTCTATTAGGTTTGTGGCACAAACTCCTTAAATGATTAGGCTGTGACTTAGTGTGGTCTTCCCTACAAATATATTTTTTAGAAAATATGTATTTGCCCACACCTATAAGATGTTGCAAATGACCT